GCTGTTAATTCTGTGTATGTTCATGGATTTTGGAGAAACTCATGCAAAAAAGTGTGAAGTCTTTTTCCCAAGTGATATGGTGATTTTAGTGTCAGAGTCAAAAATAGAGCCTAGGTTTCCTTTTTCTCATAGCTACCTCAACAGCTGTTTGTCATCTCTATCCTAAATGAACTAGCAAGTCTGAAAAATTGTCATGCACTTTTTTCACAAGTGCAAAGCAACTTATATGCAAAATGTTCATTTAAAATTATTTCCTATTTTAAAATAGCTCCACAGCTTATCAAGGTGAATGTGCCTTTGTGTCTTTTTGTCTTCCATCTCTCCCTGGAACATTTTTGGTGGGAGCAGTGACAAGAGACCATCGACATCATTTCTGAGGACTGCCATAACTCTGATCATTTTCTTTACAACATATAGTCTATCCAATTTCACCACTCAGCCATCTCCTAGGTAACTAGCACTTAGCCAACGAAACAGACTGTCCACAGTGAAAGGAAATTAAAAAAAATTAAACTGCAGTGTTTACACTTTTTTTTGAATACTTGATTTGCTTAAAATATTTTTTTTGAAGTTACCAGGTTTCAAAAAAGTCTGTTTCACTTCTCTATTGAATTTTGATCTCTTTGCCTAGTTTGTGACCCTACTCTTCCCCTGCAAATAGATGTCTCTGCAGTATAGTCAGTGTAAGTTCATGAAAACTGTCATGTCAAAGACTAAATTTTAATTCCTGAGGGATTGCAGCGATTGAGTTTGACCCAAGTCCTCATGAATGAGTGGCAGAGCAGATCTAATTCCACAACTTATTTGGTTAGGTTTTGTGGGTGTTTATTTTCTCCTCTCTCTCTCTTTTTTTAATGTCCTTTCCTGTGGGGGTGTTTTCCGTTTGATGCACTTTATTTCCTTAGTAACTGTTGCATTGTTATGGGAGGGGCTTAATGTCATTCTCAAGTACATTCTCAAGTCAAGCAATTTATTTCCTGGTTAGTCTTCCCCCATCTTCGTAGTGTGAAGAGAACATCTATGTGTGTGCATTGGCACCTGAGTGATGGGCACTTTGGATTTAGAATAAAGATGCGTGAGGGTGTGGCTCAGGAGTATTCTGGCCTGAGGTGAGTCTTTCTCCCTTTTCATCCCTTCTTTGCCTCTTTTTAAGGTGGTTTTCTTCTTCTGAGATACCATAAGGGTCAAACATTTAGAGATTTATATTTGGGAAAGCGCTTAATTTTCTTTGGTACAGTGGAAAGGTACTTACTAGCTGTGTGACCTTAGGTAGGTCACTTTACCACATTGACCTTCAAATTCCTCATCTATAAATGGTCTAGATGGTCTGTAAGGACCCTTTAAGCTCTGAATCTTTGATCCTATCATCCTACAAATAGCGAAGAGATTTGGGTTCTAATCTCAGTCCCGCTATTTGCTATCTGGCACTGACTACTTCAGTATCTGAGGGCTGCAATTTTCTCATCTGTAAAGAGAGGAAGTTGAGTGAGATGATCTCCAATGTCTCTTCTAGATCTAAAATTCTGTGCTTTTTAGGAATATATTAGAAAGATGAAGAATCCATTCATTTGTTTTTTTAATAAGGCACACTGGGGGCCCAACTAGTCAATTCAAAAAGTATGGAACCTACTAGAAATAGAGCATTTTGTCATTATTACAGTATAACCATTCAATATCTAACACAATGCACAGGGCTCATAATTTGGGGAATCAATTTTTAAAGTGTTTCTTGAACATCTCTTGTGTGTGCAGTTCTATATTTAAAACAGAATACCTAGGTAGGTATTCTGAGGTAGAGGTAGGTCTTTAAGGAAGCTTACAATCTAATTAGGGAAAGAGGACTTATTTGTTGTTGTTGTTCAATCATGTCTGAGTTTTTATGACCCCATTTGGGGTTTTCTTGGCAAAGATCCTGGAGCGGTTTGCCATTTCCTTCTCCAGCTCATTTTACAGATGAGGAACTGAGGTGAACAGCTAAAGTGACTTTCCCAGAGTCCTGCAGCTTGTAAGTGTCTGAGGCTGGATTTGAACTCAGGAAGATGAGTCTTCCTGATTCCAAGCCCAGTGCTCTATCCACTGTACCACCTAGTTGCCCTAAAGAAGACATATATAAACACAAAATAGGTAAAGCATATGAAGGGGATAATAGGGTGTCACTTGTTACTTTGACTTTTCATTGTTTAGGAAGAATCACCATTTTAGCTGTCATTCCCATTGAATTTTGTTGGTGTCCATGAAAACTATGTAAATGCTAGGCAAATTAATCAATTGAGAGAACAGATTGATGAAAAGATAAACCAACTGTAACTATGGACAGTGAAACTTGTGGGATCTAAATTTTTGGTGGTCTCAGTCATCTTGTGCTATCTTCCCTTTGATTGTGTGAAGTCTGTGCTTTCTGCTGTATGTTTCTGGGGAACACGTTTAGATGAACAGTGAGTGAGAAGAAAACAGTTCAAGAAGTGAAAAAATTCAAAGCAGTGATAGTAATAGAAAAGTTACTGGAGAAAAGATTCAGAGTCTCTATTAGAATATACAAATTATATATTACTTTTATCCTGATACATTTTAGCCTTCCCAAATATTTCATAGGGTTGATTGGGGTCCATCTTTAACCCTCATAGCAACTGCTCTTCAGAATTTTAGCAAAGGCAGGTTTTTCAGAGTGTTCCAACAGTTTTAATCTGATGGCCTACCTTTCTGTCATGGAATAAATAAGTTTGAGAACGAGAGGGCAGATAGATAGTCACCGAAAGGAAAACAGTAATTTTGTTTCCCTCCCACCATTACCCATACCCACCTACAGATTTCCCATGGCCACGTGAAATGTGAGCAATGTGATAGTTGAAATTTTTGAAAGCATGGTAGCACCATAAATAAAACAAAACCAACACAAAACACCACTCAAACTTGTTTTTCGTCTCTCAGACCAGACTAAGAATGGGAGCAAATAAAGTGCAAGAATTCCTGTGGAAGTGAATTGATTCATTTGACAAATATTTATCCTGTTCCTATTATGTAGTTTGATGCAGGGAAAGTATACATCTAGTATACTCAGAGGACCTATTTGCAAATCATCTTGGCTTGGGTCATTACCTGGGTGACTTTAGCCAAGGCCTTTAGTCTGTGCAGGTCTCAGTTCCCTCATCTGTAAAATAAGAGATTAGACTAGATGCTTTCTAAAGTCTTATGTAAGTTAATCTATGATCCTATAGGTCCTGTATGCAAAACAATGGGCTAAGTACTATGGAGTATTCAAAGAAGGGTAAGACAGCCCTTGTTCTCTGTTGGCTAATAGGGAAAATTGCATAATTCCACAACAATTAAAATATGAGCTAGAATGTTTAAGTGTAGTACAAACATAATGGTTTGGGGATTCAGAGAAGGGAGAAATTATTTTTGTGTAGGGGATGGATCGGGGAAGACTCCTAAGAGGAAGTGATTGGCTCAAAGAGATTATAGAATAGGGACCAAGGAAAAATCTGGGCATTAAATTGGTGATTTCCCTCTTTCTCCTCCATCATGTTAGGTAAATTCAGTATGGCAAAATTGAAAAGTAGAATTAATTGTTGTTGTTATTGTTGTTGTTTTTAATTGCATCTTGACTAAATTAGGCTACTTTAAAGACTGAAATTCTCTGGGATATAGACATAGGAGATTTCAGAAGGAAATGTTTCCTGCGCTCTTAACCAATTTAGAAACATTCATTAGATATAAACAGTTGATTTACTAATTAAAATTCTCATCTTTTCATTAACCATACCACTAATGATTTCTGTAATATTCTTCATTCTGTTAGCTTGTAGGTACTTGAAAGCAGGTAAATCACATTACTTTAAAAATCATCTATACTTTAAATTTTATATATTCATTGATTGGACCTTCCCTTAAATTAGTCTGAATTAGAGATGTTTGACTTTATATATGGTATGTACTTGCTTGAATAAAACAAAAAGTCATACTGTATGCCCTTTTGTAAATTGTTCCTTGTCTGGAGAGTCTCTTCTTTGAAGTGAATGTAAAATAACTTACCAATTCTTTTTAAAAAAGTTTTCTTTTCCTTGTTCCACTTGGTGAAAAAGAAAAATGTGATTGTAGTTTCTGATTGTTAAAAATTGACCAGGAGGAAATAATTATAATGGGAATAAAATTCATCCTTCTGTATCTGTGATAATTTAAATTTAATGTCCATCATCTATTTTTAAAAGTCTGGCCCTTTAGTCTTCTCATGTTTTTTTTTTTTGTTGGCTACTCTGCAATAACCATACAAGAGAAATATCTGTCAAGAATTTTATACAATGCTTTTATTTTAAAGCATGTATAAAACAATTTAGGAACTAGATCAACTTTTCTTCTTGATCCTTAATTTAAAATTATATATACATGTATGTGTGTATGCATGTGTGTATTCATGTATGTGCATACGTATGTATGTATGAAGAGTCTGAGAAATCTTTGCAAGACATCTGTGGTTTCATTTTTCAGGGGTTTAACATAAACACTGATTTCATTGAATTTTTTCCCCCCACTGTGTCTTATTGAACTACTGGAGAAAGGGGTTATAGATCTCATTCTTCCTGTTCTCTTCCCACTTTCAGTAGCTTGAGAAATATTTTCATTATTTTAAACTTCACTATAACTGTATACACTGATATAAGCCAGAGACATAGGAACACCGTGTTGTCTTTGTAATTATATTCTTACTATACCATGTTTCCTGTTGCTCTTCAGTTGAAATTTGGAGAAATGAATCTTTTCTTGTTCCCAGGAATATGAATGAAACCCTGAGCTCCTTCTTTCCACACTTCAAAAACACTCAGGAAAATTTACCACATTTGCTTTGCTGAAGAGCTTCTTTCAATGTGTATAGGCAATCCATAATAATGTCTTTGGGTAGTTGGGAGGGTTTCTCGGTCCCAGTGAGTCTATTAATTTTAATGTTTGTACAGGTCATCAGGAAACATAATCTCCTTTTTATTTTTATTTTTTTAATTTCTCAGTGAGCGTGCCTGAGGGGAAAGACAAGCCTAAGAGAGAAGACAAAACAGAAAGCAATTGAATGTCCCAAGTGGCTGCGACCCAGGGAAAGGATGCTGGCTACCGAATGGTTCATTAGAACTACATTTTAGAAAGGGAAACAGTCTCAGCGGGACAGCTTCTGTGGCTTCCAGATTCACCATGGCCCTGATTCTCTGGTTGGACGGCTGAAGTCACTGTGGGTCCAATACTTGCTTTTTGTCTTTGGCCGGTCTCCTGGTACCATCTGCTTACAGGATCTGGTGGGAATCATATGCTACCAAAGGTTGGAATCCGGAGAGAGATGGACTCCGACAAGCTAAAATGGAAGTAACTTGACAGCTTCAGACCCTCCAGTTGCCTCTTGTAAGGACAAGTTAAAAGTGGGAACACAAACGTGTCTGGGAGAGCAGTATGCAGGAAGCTGGTTTTCAGGCCACAAACGCTTTCACAGGTGAGGTTCCTGCACTGTGAGTAAGTTGAGAGTTGGTGAACTTTTTTGTTACGTGCAACCGAAATACTGCAAAAATGAATGTCCCAGAACGCATTTGGACCTATGAAGGTGAGAGGTATAAGCAAATAGGGTGACCTTTTTTCCCCCAGAAAGTAATACTATATTTTTGTTTTTACCTCACATATTAGCCTGAGGAGGGGTCCCTGCATTTTATGATTCTGTATAAAATATCCTGAAGTACATGTTGCAGAAATATTCTTCTCCATTCTGTAAAGGAAATGTGTTACCAGAAAAGACAGGGTGGGTATTTTCCTTCACAGAGTAAAATCTCCCTTCCCCTAAATTAATTGCTGGCAAGTAATTTTCCCTTCTCTCATCTTTTTTTATCCTTAGTTTATTTCCTCGGTTTTATTAGTGAGTAAATGGGGGAAAATGGGCTGCTCTAGCCTTCCAGTTATAATCATTCTTGCATAAATGAGGTCATTGTTAAAGCTGTACATCACAATTTTATTTTAATTCAGTCCATTTTAATTCCACCCTAGATACCAGTTTTCCCATTTTGTAGAGTCACCATTTGTTCTGTACGATGCCCAGAGCATAGGAGCTTTGGAATTCAGACCCTGGCATGGTTTCTGGTTCCCTGAATATCTCAGAAATGTCACTCAGTTTTTCCATACTTCTAACTCCTCATTTATTGATGCATCCAAGAGAGAGCTGAACTGAAGAATTGTTTGCATAATAATAGTAAAAAAGAAAAAAAAGTTTTGGTCCCAGTAATCATGAAGTTTGGGGGTGATTGATTCATTGAGAGATACCTATCTTTATGATACTGACAATAAGTTCTGAAGCATCTTACACACCAGCCTTCCTATTTTGTACAGGGCTGAAACTTAGCTTATTTTTGAACCTCTCACTGGGCAGATAAATCATTCTTAAGGAGTTGTTCCAAAGTGATTTTTTTAAAATAAGGGATGCTAGGAAGTTGGGTTTCATCAGAAGCTCCTGAAAAGTCCCCATGTTGAGTTCTGTCTTCCTTCAATGATCAATTTCAGCTGTCTCATTCAGTCAATCACTCAGATATTTGTTAAGTCTGTAGTATGTGCCAGGCACTGTGCTAAGTGCTGGAAATACAAAAAGAGGCAAAAAAAATCCCTACCCTAAATGAGCTCACAATCTAATGGGAGAGACAACATTCATGGGTTTTGTGAAGTGTCAGCATCTCTAGGGCATGCATTCAGCAGTTCAATGCCACAAATATCATTATTAACTGTTTATTAAGTTCGTGTTTGTTTAATTTGAATCTGATGTCTTTTATGTGCAGAATGCTGCACAAGGTGCTAAAGATGATCAAAAGTTTAGATAGCCATGGCTCCGGTCCTTAGGAACTTAAAGTCTAATGGAGGATATGACATATACACTAATAACTATGATACAAAATAATAAATCAAAGGGGCACAAAGCAAGATATTGTGTGAGGTGGGGAGTGGGGGAATGAACATTACTGATGGGGAAAGATCAGAATTAACCTCATAAAAAGGAGATATTTGAGTTGGGCTTATAGCAGAAATAAGCATGGAAGAAGAGGGGGATAGTTCAACCACAGGAGATATTATGAGTCAAGTCTTAGTTGTGGGAAAGCTCAGGGAATATTTAGGACATAGAGAATAGTTTAGTTTGGTTGGAGCAGATTGTGGAGCAATTCTTAGTTACCAACCAGACCTCATTCCTGTAACTTTTTTGGCCACTAAAGTATGTATACCTGCTTGAACCTGCTCTCTTTATACTCCAACTCAGAGGCTTCCCTGGCATCTATTAACTAAATTTTGCTGGACTAATTTCTCCTTTTTGCTGTGGCCTAGCCATAGTGTCATCTCTCTATAAGAGTTTTTACCTTCTAGTCTTTCATGACGGCATTTTCAGAATACTCTCATGTTTTTAGCTTTCAACCATCCTTTAAGAAAATAGCTGGGAAGTCAAGTAAGGGAAACTCCATTATTTCACAGGTGGCTGACATTGTTATTCACTTTAGGTGACTGTTGTTTTTTTTTTTTTTTTGGCAGGGATGATCTTTTTTCCTTTGGTATCTTTTCTTCTTTCTTTTCTCTGTCTCCTTAGTTTTTAAAAGTTATCTGTTTTATAAGGTAAAAATACTGACCACCTCCCTGCATCACGAACCCAGTGTGATGGCAATTGGTTGAAACTATCCCAGTAACATTTCTTATAGAAGGGAAAGAGTAGGAGGCTGGTGCACATCACCCTGAGAGATTTATTATTCTTTACTTGCCTTTGACTTTGACCTTTATTTATCCTGAGGGAACAAGGGATGCTCATGTCTTAGTTTCTGGAATTAGAGATACACTCAATTATTGATTAGGGGCAAATTGAAGGAAATAATAGCTTGTATGGTACCAAATAGCAGAGAATATAATATTCACTTGGAGGGAGAGCTGACCTTAAAGCCAATAAGGCTTGGGTTCAGATCCTGCCCTTGATACATACTGGTTCTATGACCCTGGGCAGATCACTTAACCTCTTATTGCTCCAGGGGTGGGGAACCTGTGACCTCGAGTCCACATGTGGCCTTATGATCGAGGCCAAGTTTTACAGAACAAATCCTTTTATTAAGGATTTATTAAGGATGGAGTCTAGGCTTCTCTCTATAAATTACAGAGAAGGTGACAACCTGAATTGGTAGAGGGATTCTTTAACCTTGATCCCCATCCAGAAAGCTCCCTACACTATGGAAATCACAGATCCAGTCCCTAATCCCTTGGAATATTTTATTCAGGATGAACCAAAAGTCACTGAACCTTCAAAGTATGCTTAGTTTGTACATGGAGAGGTGGAATGGAGTGGTGTAAAGAGGACTGGATTCCAGGTGGAAAAATTGGAACTAGGTGACACTTATGATGTTTACTAGCTCTGTGACTTATCTTGGAGTCTTGATTTTCTCATCTATGAGAGGGGAATAATCGTATTTGCACTACCTACTAATAGATTTGTAAGAAAATCTTTTCTAAATTGTGAAGTGCTAAGGTGAACTATTGTTATAAATGACTGCGGTTAAAAGCAATGGCTTATTTTATGTTTTAGTTTTCTCATATGCTTATATATATATACACATACCTATACAAAAGGTTATATTACACACGTGTATATATGTATGTATATTATATAATATTTCCATATAAGATCACACATAAGATAGAGGCTACAGATTGGTTTTAAGGTTGGTCAAAAAGACCAGGCTTTCCACCTATGTGTGATTTTATTTGATTTGAAAAAGTGGGTTGAATTCTTTTATCAGTCAAGTGACCAATAAAGGTAGCTCAGAATATGTGGAGCTGCTGAGGGAAGACAGCCGAGTTTTAAAAATTTGCTGTTGTCCATTAAGTGGATAACCTGTATTTAGCTATTCAAAAGACTTCACTTCCAGAACCAGTGATCCAAAATACTGGCTTCAGGTAGCAGGGTGAATTTTTTCTTCATGATGGGACATTCTTTGCCTTGTAACCAGGCTGTTTCTTTTAGGGTGATTTAGAAATTATTTTAATTTGATAAGCTCTCTCTTGAGACCAGTTAGGTGTTTGTCAGTGACCAATTTAAAGATGGAAGATACATAAAGAATAGAGTATCTTCCATTATTCATTTGTGAAACAGAATAAGTAGTATTTACCTGAACCCTGGAGTGTTGTGAGGATCAATCAACAAGTATTTATTTAAAGCATGGGGAACCGGGTGGCACAGTGGATAGAGTACCAGGCCTGAAGTCATCTTGCTGAGTTTAAATCTAGCCTCAGATACTAGCTGTGTGACCCTGGGAAAGTCATTTCACCCTGTTTTGCCTCAGTTTCCTCATCTGTAAAATGAGCTGCAAAAGGAAATGGCAAACTACTCCAGTATCTTTGTTAAGAAAACCCCAAATAGGATCACAAAGAGTCAGATATGACTGAAATGATTCATAAAATTTAAAGCATACTATATGTCATGTGCTGGGCTAAGTGCTGAGAATACAAAGAAAGGTTAAAAACTCCCTGTCCTCAAGGATAGTACATTCTAATGGGTGAAAATGCTTTTGTACATACAAGATATATAATAATAATAGTTAACATTTATATAGTGCCTACTATGTGCCAGACACTGTACTAAGTAAGTAGTTTCTAATGATCTCATTTGATATATGGAGTAGATGGAAAGTAATCTCAGAGAGGAGGACAACATCTTTGCATTAATGCTGCTGAAAAAGTTACCTGAATGCGGAGGATGCTGATGGTGGTGCTGGTAATTTTCTGCCTGGGCATGTAGAAACTCTGCTTCCCAGTTCCCAGCTCCTTGCTTTGAAGCCGTCAGCCTGCTGGCCTGCAGTCCATTTCAGCTTTTCTGCAGATGGATACACTTGCATAAGATAAGCTCCCTCTGTTGTAAAAACAAACCCCAAGTGACTCAGGGCAGAGGGAAATGGGAACCCTTCCAGGGTGAATCAGTCAGTTTTTTGTCTGAAGTGTTGCAATACTGATAAAGATTTCATCTCATTACACTGTGTGTGCTCTCAGGTGACTCTGAAAGAATCATGTCTAGGTAATCACAGTATAAAATATGAATGACACTGATTTGAAATTCTCTACCTCATCACCACTATGTCTCACCATAGACTTCTCTACCGTTGTTCTTTTGGTCATTTCGCTATTGGTGTTAACATGTTAACTTAAATATGTTAACTAAAGTAAACCAAACTGTGGAATATATGCCCCAGTCTGGTGGCGGTGGTTATTGTTTAACTAGACTCTTGGGGAACTTCCCAGTGAGAAAACTCCCTCTACCAATGGAAATCAGCATTTGCCTTGCAACTTATTCACAGAGAAATTGCCAGAGAGGTTAAATGATTTTCTGAGTGCTACGCAGCCAGTTTCTGTCAGAGGTAAAACTTGATCCCAGATCTTTTTGACTCTGAGGCCAGCTTTTAAACAACCATACCATATTGCTTCTCTCTAAAGTCTTTT